TTATATTTCCACGTTTATTAAGATTTTCAATCTCATCATTGGTTGATGATGTTTGATTACTTGATGAATGGGAATGACTTTGAAAACCTGACGATGATGAAGATAGAGATGGAAGATTAGAATTGTAGAATATTGGAAAATCTTCATCGATTAATGTTGATGAACATTGTTTACGACGTAATTGTATTGGATCAAAATGATGATGATGATGATTAGTTGTTGGCTAAAAAGATTATATAAATATTTATATAAGAAAAGCGGAAGTTTATAATTAAAATTTTGTCAAAATGAGATAAGAAAACAACATTAGTATAGATAAGACTTGGTTCTAATGGATTTAGTATAGCAGATATAAAAATGTGAAAAGTAATCTTTTCCTAGCTTATTAATATCAATGAAAAAAAATCGTAATTCCCATTAGAATTCTATGAGTGAACTATTTTTTTTCTCATGATAAAATGACAACTGATACTCATATATCAGGTAATAAATTGGTTTTTATCGGTATAGATGAGTATCAAAGAAAGTGAATTCTCGAGAGAATTCGTTCACATACAAATCTTATGGTACAACATATGTACTACCTACCCTGGAGGGGGATCCAGACTTTTTTTTAGTCGCGGTTAGTTTAAGAATAATACACTGATCGTGAAAGCAAAACTAGTCCTGAAAAGGTTAATATCATAATTTGTGATTGATAGAAGCAAAAATTCAAATCAACTATTAAAGTATATCTAAATGTTTTTTTTAGTTGTTATTCTGAAAGGTTTCAATCATAGAATGTTATTGAACTAACTTTAATTTTGTGCGTTACAGCATTTTCAATCACAACAGGTCGAAATTTGCATTCGTTCACATGTTGATAATGACGTCGATTTTGTTTATCTAATTTTTTTGTTGACGTTTCTCCATCGTTCTGCCGTTCCAATCGTTGATAATGCCTGAGTGCTTCAGATATGAGCGAAGCATTACCTAAGAATAAAAAAATACATATATGTATATGCATAGCATGAGAATAATCAGTATGATTGCGTGTAGAAAAAATATTTATCTCAATAACAGATCATTGACATGATGAAGATTAAAGATAAAGAAAATAGAATAAAGACGAAAAGAAAAGAAAAGAAAACTTGTCTGTGTGTAAAAAGCTTTCACTCTTATTTCGACAGATACACTAAGTGTCATCTATCAAAAATAATTACATGCTCACATTGCTCTTTTTCTTGTTTCTTAAACAACTTCAATGATTGTTTGATTCTATTGATCAGGTGTATAAGAAAATTTTTACTCATTAAATATCGATTCGTCATTTTTGTCTTTATTTATTATATTGGTTTAAATAGTTATATGATAAATGAGATAATAACTTTGATTCTTTTGAACAACATGCAGATGGTTTAGGTTGAAAGACAACTATGTAAATTGTACACATGCCGACAGATAGTTATCGTCATATGAACTAGTATCCCTTAATTTTGTCAAGTTCATTGACCTCTTGTTAATCGATATGTTTAAAAAACAGTTATACACCTCCAACTGAGTGTGTGAAAAAAAAAATTTTTCTCTCAATGAAAAAAAAGATCAGCAAACAAATCTTCAAGATCATTAGCACGAAAAGTCTTTTAAGAGTTTGTATTCTTACACATTTGTCTAGTTATAAAAAACAATACAAATATCAATTGTTATCCCTTAGGATATGATGATGATGAATGACTGACTATGTACATATATATATAGTCTTGCTGTTTTTTCCGGAAATCACTTTTCGACACCTTCTGTATACATTTCAATATCAATTGCACAAGACGTTAGATATACATTTCTAAGCCTTTTTATATATGTATATGTACAAACTAACTTTTCTTCGATAGGTTTCAATCATCTTATTTGATTAACATCTTGACACGAACGTGTGTCTTCTCTTTGCTGAATTAGTGTATGTACATATACACACTCCAATCATCATCACCATTTTTGATGAACAGCGATAAGAACATGATGTTTCACTCTGCATCTAGTTGACACGCAATCTTAATAAAAGAATAACGAAAGAAAATGTGGGAAAATTGTATTCACTCCCATAATCACATCATTATCATCATCTTAGTTACTTAGCGTTTTTACCTATAAGCAATCACTTATGATAATGTCTGTTTAATTCGCTTATTCGCTTGATGTGCTCATTAGAAAATCTGGAAACTTTAAAAAGAAAAATTTAACCTTTTGGTGTCGTCATCATTTATTATTTGTTTTTTGTAATGAACTGTATATTAATCTTTCTTCCATATGGGACTAGAAGATATTTGATATTCTATTTTTTTAATAAAATAAAATTATGTTTAAAATCAAGTATGTTGATGTTTGCCTCTCGGTAAAACACACATAATAAACATCAGACAATATAAAAAAAGAAAGAAATGAAGAAAACGACCACTAACCGTGATGTACACATCAAAATTATGATCATATTCTTGCAACACCTGTATTGGCTCAATAGCCACTTAAATGAGCAATGAAACGAGACATGAGGAATAAAGAGAAAATGTCAACGAAATGTGCACATATTCGTTTGATGTTTTGAAGTACTACAAGGACTAATGAACTCAAAAGAGCAACAGCACACTATTCATATATGCTTGCGTGATCTTGTTAACGAAACGAGTCATTGCCCAATGAAGAGCTTAAAGTTTATAAGAAGACTTTTCTTATTTAAATTACATCTCCTTGTCAACATCAATGATCAATCGTATATCCTAGGGGAAAGTCGGTTTGTCTACATCTGATTTTTATAATTGATAAAACAACAAAAACATCGGGTGTGAAGCCAATAAAATCTCCATCTATGTCTTATACAAACTAAACATCTCTATCCTTGTCGGTGGTCTTCTACATTGAAATAAAAATATAGAAAAAAAACATCACTTACGTTTAAGACTACATCGTACAGTAACTGATGTTGATTTACCATTTTCTTTAATATAACGAAAACGTATTTTTCGCATTGTATATGATTATTTCTTTCAGTTGAATATATATATATTTGTTGGGTGATTGTATAAGTTAATGACGTGAGAGATATTCAATCTATCTGTTAGAGAAGTAAACGATCGAAGAGAAAAAAGCGAAAGAGATGATTAAATAACACGAACCAATACGTGAATGAATATGATCGGTATAAGAGAAGAAGAGGAGAGAGCGAGAGCGAAAGAAGGAGAAAGAAAAAAAAACGAATTTTTTTTATTCGATTCTGTTCCAGTAGACAGACGAGAATGATGATGAGTTTTTTCCAAGCGAATGAACATGATACCTCATGCTGAGAGAGTCGAAAAATCAACAATCGACTTCATCAAATAAAGTGAGAGCATGAGACGAGAAACAGCATTCTCAGGTGACCACTTTATCGAAACAACGGTATACTTTCCCTAAAACAAAACTCATTTCCGTGATATGTATATAGGCGGAGTTTTTTAAACACGCATCAACACCTTCTCAATATTTTTGTAATATAAGCTTGAAGGGGGCAAAAAAAACAATACATATATGAATTTTTACTAAATTAGATTTATTGATCAATTTAGATACGATCAATGTACAAAATAAAACAAGTCCATAGAGATTTGCTTGTAGTTAAACAGATGGTGGCATATACGATTCATTTAAAAGTACAATCTGATGAGATATCAATGGGCAATTTGACACGATTTTCATTATACAGGTTAAATGATTGATCATTAGAGAATTTAACCTACTGGAAAATTATGTTATCACATGAAATTCGTTGTTAAGTCGATTAAAAAAAAGATCGTTATTTTATATATTTTTCTTTTAAAACATAACTAGAATATGAATTTCATGTAACTCGAAAAGAATTAATGAAAAAACACGTACAAACAAATGTGATGATGAAGAAGAGGAACTTCTATTTGTTTAACTTATTAAAATCACTGCTTACTCAATCTTCGCTTAAGATCGGAAATTGATATATCTATATTGATTGTATTCAGTTTAAATTCAATAGATTAAACTGTCATTTTTTTAATATTAATATTGACAGTTACTCATCAACTTCTTTTTTTTTCACTTTATTAATATTGTTCTGTGATAATGTATTTCAAGATCGTATAATATTTATATTCATTCACCTTCTGATGATTACATTAATCGTATTCGTACTTGATCTTTCATTTCTCTTAGTGTGCTCAAAGTTATATCGTATTACATGTTAACTTTAAGATTGCGAGAAACCGAAATTAATTGAAAACATGCTTATGTTCAGTATAAAATATGATTACGTATGTTGGTTTAAAATATGTGAAAAAAATAGTATCGTAGAAGTAAGGTCATTTTTCAATCTTTATTGATGGGATCAGTAGATCAGCTAATATATTTTATTAACTTTTCTGCTTCCTTTTTTTTCTTCTATACATAAAAAGCAGTTGATGACAGTTGATTAGATAATTTCTCACTATTCAGAGATAGAATCATCGATTGATAAAGATTTCATGTCGACCGTATGCGAATCATTTTGTATCTACTACTACTTCTGAAAGAGATTTTTTGTAGACTCAAATATGTTTGTCTTCAATTCGATAACTTTAGTTTTTCGACTATGAAAACAGTTTGAAAATTATTTTAAACTAGTGTCTTTTTTTTCGTATTATTTGTTAATGTAAATAAATAACTTAATGATGTATTTCTTTTTTCTCAAAATGTTTACCTTGCTGTCGTAAAACGTATTGGAACTCTTCACAAATACTTTACATACTTAAATGTTTGCTTTAGACAGTTGATCTATGATACGTGATAGACTAAAGCGAAGCATATGCGGATCTAGGATTTTGTGAGGGGGGGGGGGGGTGATTTTGGCTGAAAGCTATTTTTTGAGTCCAATCGAAGTAGTGTGAACTTATTTTTGCTGTGAAAAAATCAAAAAAAATTCGGAAGGAGGGCCGATCATCTAGAGAACTGCAAAATGGTCCCGGTCCCAAATTTCTCTTAGTTACCGAGACCGACACCAAGACTAAAATTGTCAGCTAATTCCTCAATATTTTTATCAAGTATGAGACTAGATATTTTCTTATTTCTTTTTTTTCTTTAATTAAGAATTGACAAATGTGTTATTTTATAGTTCAAGGAAAACCGTATAGATTGAATTTACGATCGAAAAAGCGAGAATTTTCGTGAATTTCATATTTTTTTTTGCATAGATGAAGACAACACCAGAATTATTCTTCAGCTTTTATCAAGACCGGGACCGAAAAAAAGTGATTTTGCAGTTCCCTACGATCATCTCCCTAAATCCGCCACGGACTTCTACAATTAGAACTCTAATTTTCAGTAAAAATTGAACTTGAGAATATTTACGTTCATTATAAACAGTAAAGTTATGAAGTCAGATGACGTTGAGATCTATAATATTGAACTAAACATCATTCCCTTCATAATCAATGTGAAAAAAATACCACGAAAATTTTGTGAATATTCTCATTATCTAATACAATACATAAAAACTAGTCTTTCATTTATCCGAAATACTTCTAGAAAATTTGTACGAGTTAAATGTTTTTCATTTTATTTAAATATATATATATATGTATATTAGATGTCACTACTATCCATGACAAAATAAAGTCTTATAGAGTAGCGATATTTTTGTTAGGGACAAACAACTCAACTGACTGACTTATTTGATAAGTTTAATATTCGATCAAAAGATCGGATAAAACAATGCATCGTTATCGGCATTTTGATGATGTTATTGATTCCAATAATATAGATTCGCCAGCAATTTTACCTGATAATGAAAATGATGAAGCATTTCAAGTAGAATTTAATCCTCATCATAATAATTATTCGTCCAATTTTGATAAATTTAAATATTGTTTTTCACAACGAACACGTCTTGAACGATTTTTAATTTATCTTGTTTTTATTCTTTTATTTGTTTTATTTTTTATTACACTTATTTCTCTTTATCATACAAAATATTATTCACCAAATACATTATGTTTAACATCATCATGTATTCAAATATCAGATAGACTATCTTCTGGAATGAATCAATCGGTTGATCCATGTGAAGATTTTCATGAATTTGTATGTGGAAATTGGATGAAAAAAAATATTATTCCAAAAGGTCATTCATCATGGTCAACAATGAAAGAATTATTACAAAAAAATAAAATTATATTAAAAAATATTCTTGAACAAACATCAATAACATCAATATCAAATCTTGAACAAGAAGCAATAAAATATTATCAATCATGTATGAATATAAGTGAAATCGAACGATTAAATACTGAACCATTAGAAAACTTTTTCAAAAATGATTTAAATTTTACAATAAAACAATGGATTGATTTAGATAAAAATCAAACATGGCAACAATTATTTGCTAATTTAATAAATATGCATCCAAATAAACATGATATGTCCTATATTTTACCAGTTAAAGTCTATCCGGATGAGAAAAATTCTACATGGAATAATATTCATGTAAATAAATTTCTTTAAAATTAATTCTATGTAAATATATTTGTTTTTAAAGATTGATCAACCGCATCTTGGCCTTGATAGTCGAGATTATTACATTGATTTAAAAACTGACGAGAAATCAACAGCAAGAAATCAAAAAGTAAAATTCCAAAAATGAATTTTATATTTAAAACAAAAAAATATTATTTAGATTCGAGAAACATATAAGAAAGTCGGATCCGATATATTACAATTACTCGGTTTTGATAAAAATGATTCAATCAGACGTATGAATGATATTATACAATTTGAAACTGAACTTGCTATTGTTAGTTGTAAGTTAATAAATCGATGTAATTTCACGCTCAATTTCTATTGACATAGTATTCAATACAAAGATCTTTTATTTACATAGCATTAGTGTTTCGTAGGAAAAAAATTATTATCAAATACAGTTCGTTATTATAAGAATAAAATCTATTATTCAGAGGCTGATTCCGTAAATCTTCTTTTACGACAAAAGTGTATTGTTAAATCTTATATACGACATATTTAAAAATTCAGTACTTTGTTCATTAATTCAAGATAAAACAACGAGAGAGTGAATTAATTTAACTATTATTTATTTCTCATAGATACTATAAAATTTATTTTCTTATTTGTAATTCAATAGAAAAAAAGCAAGGGTATGCATTTTTAACTTCACACTCTAGAATTAATTTTATCCTACACATCTTCATTATCGATTAGAATCCTACATCGGTTCAGATTAATAAAAAATCAAATCTTCCTGTGTATATAATAATCTGAACGATATCTCTGTGTTATTGATATACTTCATTACACGCTTATTAAATTAATCAATAGTAAAATTTTAGCACGGATATATTTGCTTATCGATCTTTGCACAATATGTGATGGGATATTATTTATTTGACTTGAATTTTTTTAATAAAAAATCTTTTATTTATTAAGTACCAATGGAAATTTTACAAAAACCTGATGCAACATATTATTTAATGCCATTAAAACAACTTCATGAACAATATCAATCAATAGGATTTGATATCTATTCATATTTTAATAATATGTTTAATATAAACATAACAAATCCAATAAAATTCAATGAAAATAATCAAATTATTATTTTATCATTTGATCTTATGTCGAATGTATCAAAAATTGTCACAAATTATTTATCGACACCCAATAAAAGTCATATTGTTATTGATCATTTATTATTATCATTAGTAGTAGAACTGATTCCATATTTACCATCGATATTTAAACAAACTTTATTACCATTAAAAACAGTTCTTCTCGGAAGAGATTCATTACCTGAACGATGGGAATATTGCGTTCAAGAAACAGATGATTCATATGGTTATGTACTTGGTAAATAAAGAAAATTTACCGAAATATATTTCAATATTAAATTTTAGGTGTTTTATATATTAATACTGTATTTGGTGAAACTGATCGAAAAGAAGCAAATAATTTAATAAAAAATATTCGTGAAATATTTGACGAAAATCTTGATAAACTTCAATGGATTGATGAATCATCAAAAAATGAAGCGAAAATAAAATTAAAAAAAATCTATGAAAAAATTGGTTATCCTGATTTTATTAGAAATCAGACAATATTAAATGAACGGTTAGTTGAATGAAATAAATTCTATGTATTTCTACTTTTGTTTTTAGTTATGGAGGTTATCCAATGATAGAAAATGATTATTTTAATAATGAAATAAAAATAATAACTCGAGATCGTCGACGAACACTTTTAAAATATCAACAAAAAGTTGATCGTACTGAGTAAGAAGTTTTTTACATGATATTAAATTGATATATTTAGTCATATATATATATATATATTTTTAGTTGGCAAATGACACCACCAACAGTCAATGCTTATTATAATCCAACAAGCAATGAAATTGTTTTTCCAGCTGGTATTTTACAATCACCACTTTTTCATAAAGATTTTCCAATATCAATTAATTATGGTGCTATTGGATCAATAATTGGACATGAAATTACTCATGGTTTTGATAATCAAGGACGGCAATTTGATGCAGATGGAAATATACATTCTTGGTGGAGTAAAAGTTCTTTAGAAAAATTCGAAGAAAAAACAAAATGTTTTGTTAAACAATATTCAACTTTCACATTTGATGGACAAAATGAAAATGGACAAAGAACATTAGGTTTGTTTTATAGAGATATTGTATTTAGTTAGAGTTTATCAATTGTATCGTTAATGAGCTAAAGATATATTCTTATTCAATGACTTGATTTTATCTTAAATAGTATGCATAACATCACTTTTTTCCTCCTTAGACTATTTTGAATTTTGATAATGATAACGAATCGAAGACATTTTTCGAATATTTTCTGATACTATGATTACTTTCAATATCAAAGATCAAGTTATTTTGGACAGAAAGAAAAAACTATTTTACCCCTTCGTTAACGTTGTGGGGTCCAAGCGGACCCACCTTAAATTTTTATTTAGTTACTCCTTTTATCAGAGTCATAAGCTATTTATTGGCTCGCTATTTCTAGTATCTCTATGTGAAATTAAGACAAAAAACACTGGGATTCATCCTATCCTAAAATATCTCCTAAAAAGTTCTGAATAATTGATAAAGGCAAAAAATGAGAACGGTAACGGAGGGTTCAGTCAAAGTTGAATATTGTCACATGTTAACATATTTTCATACAAAATTTGCAGTCTCTACATTTGTTACGGACTGTAGTAGATAGAGCTTCATAGATGAAATTTACGATTTTTTCTTCTGAATTTATAAATAAAATAGAAAAGTTGAAATAATATGAATTTTATATATCAATATCTATTTTAGAGAAAATATGATCGAGATTAGTAAGAATTTCTGTATGCTATTTATTTGCTCTATATATTTTTATTATTTCAAATAATAATTGAACTATTTTTCTTTAGATGAAAATATTGCTGATAATGGTGGTTTGAAAATAGCTTATCTTGCTTATGATAAAATCAAACAACGTAATTTAAAAACTGATAATAATCTTCAACTTCCCGGTTTAAATTATAACAGTGATCAATTATTTTTCATAGCATCTGCTCATGTATTATACTCATTTTTTCTTCTTACCTTATTATTAATAGTAAATTAATTATTCTTATTTTTTTCTCTAATAGAGTATGTGTAATATTCAAACTACAAATGGAATACATTATGATTTAACAAATGATCCTCATTCACCAGCACGTTCTCGTATAATTGGTACCGTTCAAAATAGTGATGAATTTCGAAAAGCATTTTCATGTAAATCAAAAACATCGATGAATCCAAGTATTAAATGTCAATTATGGTAGTCTTTCGAACATGTTTTTTTTCTATTTTTTAATTTAAAACAAATGACAATATTTTTCAATTCGATCTTAAAATTTTTTTGTTTTTATTTATATGATATTGTTTTACAACGATAACGTAGATCTTAATTTATTTGTTTATAAATAATATAACTAATCGTTTCTAATTTTCAGATGATACCAGATGAAAAAACGTCTAGTGTTAGTCGACAAGAATTTATAGATTTACTATGTCGGATAACAAAATCAAATGAAGAAATGACACCTACAATTCCTACTGAGACAAATGAAGCAGATGTAACAATTATTGATGATGATGATGATAAAACAGCAGTTGAAGAAGGAGAAATAATTACACTTGATGATGATGATGATGAAAATAATAATACAAAAGAGGTGGAAGATGGTGAAATAACAGAATCACAAGGATCTGATGTATGTGTAATGTTCCTATAAATGTACAACATTTTTTTTTAATTCTGATTATTAGAATGATGATGTTGAAGAATTAAATTTACGTTTGAATGCTTTACGATCATTAGCTGGAGCAAAACAACAACGACGACCAAAAACTAAAAGTAAAATATGAATATATTTTTTTTTCGGAAAATTTATTTGAATTTTATTTAGAATTTAAATCGAAAAGAAAACGTTCTAATGATATTAATCGTTATCTAAATGATGATATTGATCTTCGTTCGCCTCTGAAAAATCGTTCATCACGACATATAAGTCAAACATCAAATTATGATGATCGAGAATATTTACTTGATAAAGATTATCGACAACCAAGTGTGTTTGATATGCTTCTGTCACTTATTTCACCAGATAATAATATAAGTATACATAATAAAAAACTTCATGATAATTATGATATACAACACATGGATATTGTCGAAGATCAATCTACTCTAGCACCTCCTCTGCCTCCTCTACCACCACCACCTCCACCATTACCACCAAATCATTTACCATTCTTTGATCCATTACCACCACTTCCACCTCCACCACCATCTTTATTATTTGATTTTCCTGTTAATCAATCATTTCCATTAAACAATTGGCCACGACCCAATTTTGTTCAGCAACAACCTGTACAACCTGAATTATGGCCACAATCATATCATACTTCAACAGATGTTGATCTACGTCATCAACTAATGAATAATGCTCATCATCATCATCAAATGCCTCTACAAAATGAACAATCACAATATAAAAAATCCCAACAACAACAACAACGACGACAAAAACGTTCGAAAAAACTTCCCAAAAAATATCATCAAGAACCAGAATCTAAATCACCTGTGATGATTACAAGTACAACAAATGATATAGAAAAAGAACAATCACCATCATTAATTAATAATGATACGATTCCTAATGGTAATGGTAAAGGTGGTGATAATGATGATGATGATGATGATGATGAACGTTTATTACGTGAAGAGCTTCTACGTACATTATCAACTAAACGTAAAATTACAATCATTGAACAACCAAATCCTGAACCAGAACGTATTGTTACAATTGAACCATCAATTTCACCAACACCAATTATAACTCCACCTGCAATTGTTGCTATTAATAAACCTATTGAAGCATCAATTAAATCACAATATAGTATTAATCAACGATATAAACGTGTTAAAGCAAATGTATCGCTAACAAATGTATCTAATAAAACAGAAACAACAACGACAACAACAACAACTGTTGTTCGAACTACGCAACCTGTTTTTCAAACACGAAATAAAATTGTTCGTGCAGTAAGTGTGCCTTTTCTTTTTAATTGAAAAAATTTAAATTATTTTTAAGAATGAAAATGATATTATGGATATTCCACAATCAAATCCAATTATAATTACATTTGATGATCAAACAACAGATGATGATGAACAACAACTACAACAGCAACAACAATATGCTTTAAAAAAAACAAATGAATCAACATATTTAATTGCAGATGAAGAACGTCAAGCAATTAAACGTTTACAACAATTACAAGAAGAAGTTATTCGACGATCTAATGCTATTGAATTAACAACTAAACCAGTAGTACAAAAAGTTCAAACACCACCACCACCATCTGCTGATATCGTTCAAGAAGCAATACCATCAACAGATGAATTAAGTGTTCTATTCGAAAAACGGTATGAAATCAATTATATCTGACTGTAGTTAAAAAATGTGCAACACGAAGAGACATTTTTTTTTCTAGTCGAATGTTACTGAGTGGAAGATCGAAATATGCAGAAATTCAAGAAAAAATGAAAAAGAAAAAATTAGAAAATGGCCTCCTAGCACGTGAAATTGAAAAACTTGAAGAACAATTAGTAACGAAAAAAGCTCAAATCACTAATAATAACGCACTTTTACAATATTGGCAAAAAGAAGTAAAAATTATTATTTTTTAAAATATAACTTTATTATTCGATTTCTAAAGGCTATGGCTATTGCACAAAATATCAAACATCAAGAGAATTTCATTCTTCAATCTGCTGTTTTTAAATCTGTGAAACCAGTAGATATTTCAAGAATTTTCTTTTGTATTGATAATCGTTTTTTCCTGCTTTTAGACTTCATCATCCATTGTTAAACCTCGATCAGCAATTAAATTCGATTATGCAAATATTTCAAATATATTCGAAGAAAGCAATGTATGTAAAATATAGACATCTCTTGTTAACTGAAATTTCTTCGTTGAATATTCTAGACACAAATGCTTTTATCAATGCTCATTTGTCCAATGAATTTTTATCAGAAACTGCGTCCTTATAGTAAATGGTTAAAAACAATATCGAAAAAATTCCAAGAAGTAATTCATTTCCATATCTGAACTTAATTAATAAGATTTTCTAATTTAGATATCTATTGAAAACAATTCATGTTTATTGCTGCGCACACGGTCGTAAGTAAAAATATTTTGAATAAAAATGATCTATAGATATGAATTTCTTAGATTTCCAACTGAAAATAATGAACAGTATTGGAAAACATGTTTACAGTCATATTTTATTGATGCTAATCATATTCTTTGTCCTTATGAACTTCAGGGTTCATGTAAAGCTCAAAATTGTATTTAGTAAGTTGAAATTAATTCTTTCTGTACATATAGATTTGTTTTTTTTATTAATTAGTCAACATCAACATCAAATATCTACACGAATTGAGCAGTTTCTTTCATCAAAAAATTTCAATGAAACAAATAAACAAAGTTTGTTTTTAAAGATTAAAACTTTAAAAAATATTTTCTTGTTTAGAAATTTTAAATCAAATTGATAGTATTTGTTCACTTCAACCATTTGATATGGATTTATCTATATTTGAAAAAAGAATTACTGACAAACAATACCAACGATGTAAGTTAATTTATAGTTTACTTCAAAAACGTCTTTTTTTTATATTAGGTCGAATTAAACTTGATCGATATCTTACAAATTATCATGAAGATTTTCGATATTTTCGAAGTCAATTAAATAATGATAATCAATCTACTATTCATCCAATACTCGTCAGTGTATCAGAGCAACTTGATTCGTATGTATAATTACATAGGCATTACAAACATGAAGTTTCAAAATGTTTTAATATACTGTAAAAAAAATAATTACAGAGATTATCGCATTGAGTTATAAGTGTGGGTTAGGGTCCGACAGGACTAGGTTTTTCCATCCCGATCCCGACCGTCTCTCACTCGGTCGATGGAAGTGAACCCAACTTTTCGTGAATCCAAGTTTTTTCAATCACCGTTTACACTATCAGAGCACTTCGATAGAGTTGACTGAAGTTCACGAAAAGTATCTACTCGCGAGTTGTACTTTCCGTGAACTTCAGTCGACTCTATCGAAGTGCTCTAATAGTGCAAACGGTGATTGAAAAAACGTGGGTTCACTTCTTTGAACCCTCTCACTCGACAGAAACCCGTCCCGATTCCGGTCCCGGCAAAATATTTTTTCGGAATTTTCGATGCCGTTAACATTTTCTGTGAATACAATTCATCTGGACCTGGAACCCATTAAGGTATTTACTCGGGATTCTATAGTCCCTATCCCGTCCCGCCGGGAGTAAAGTCGGAATTTTGATCCTGCTCCCGACGGGCTAAGGATCGGGTTTGGGATAAAATAAAGATCAGGACAATCCCGCCTGATTCTAATGTAGATGTAGCGAAAAGAGTATTTATCATCACCTACACTCCACCCTTTTTAGTCAAACATTTAATGATTTCGATAATATCGGAAGTTGTTCATATGAAATAATAATTATTTGTTTTTTTTCGTCTAGTGATAATTTTTCTCCTGAACATGCTGTAGCTGATCTAGTCGAAGGTCTTGAATCCCAACGAACGAATGCTCAATTATGGTGTCTTTATCTTGAATTTTCCAGTTGGCATATGTCTTCTACTGAATTACAACATCTATGTTTTGCTGCACTAAAAAATTCTCAAAGTTATGATTTATTTTGGACGGTAAAAAACCCGAATCTTTCAAAAAAGAATTTATTAAATATTTGTTAATTATTAGATTTTTTACTTATGTACAAATAATTTAGAAGAATTAATTTCTCTCTATTTAACATTTATTCAATCAACTCAATTTGATTTTCATAATCCATCCTATGCCATATGTGAACTAGCTATGTTTCATGCTAATCTTGCATTAAGTTATGATCAAGCATATCAGACAATAAAAGTATATCCTATTATAATATAAATTTTTCTAAAAATGAAATATTTAGAATTATTTATCAAATTCTTTGCTTAAAGATGAACATCGAATATATCTTATCTTAATTTTATTATATATGTTTGTATTTGGTTCATACCCACGAAATCTTTATCAACAAATAGATGAAAATCGATTTATTAAACCAATCGATGTTCGTAGATAACATTTATAATTCAAGTACAATGTCTTTATTTTATAGCTTGAACCATTTATTTGTCCTTGGTATGCATTATCGAATTATACGCATTTACAGAATGAAATTGATCAGTTTTTTGATGATTTTATTAATTCTATGGAATTATTAGAGAATAATCTTGCTTTATTTATTAATAAACTTCATTACTTAAATGCAACAAAAAGGTTTGAATAATAATTTAATTTCAATTTTAATTCAAATAATCAATAGATTCAATGAATCACAATGTTATAATGAACTACTACTTGAAACATTTCCATATTCAATTGAACTTTGGATCGAACTTTTAATAAATCCGGAATTATCTCAACATATTCCAGAAGTAGTTTTCCTTCGAAATTATTTCGTAATAAAATATTCAATTTTAGACTCTTGAACGTGCGAGAAAAACAACAGGAATTTATTATGAATTTGTTTATTCATTGGTATTATTTAAATGTATTATAGATTTTCTACATATGAAATAAATCTATTTTAGTCGTCAGTGATGAATATTGAAGAATTATTGAACAATGAAGCTATTCCAGCGAAAACATATCGTGAAAAATTCTTTTTTGATCTTTGTCATTTGTTGTGCGAATTTTTATTTTTCATAATTAGAACAAAAACAAAAACAAATCTGTTTTTTCTATATTTTCTAGGTTAAATTCAAATATTGAATTGAAAGAGAAGAAATTAGAGCAAAATATTCTACGATATAATGGAGAATTACGTGATATTGTTATACTTGAGTAAGATTTATAAAAACAAAAATTTCTTATATTTATTTATTTGTTCAATTAGTATACTTTTTCATTTATCGGAATATTCAATTGGTGTACAACAGAAAATAATATTGAAAATTTTAAATTATTTATTAACAAATGATGATTATCATCAAAGAATATTAATACTTTATTCATTTTTTCGATTAATTCCAATGAGTCGAGTTTTTGATATTGTTATTGATTGTTTTCTTTCAATACATATCGATCAGTATGAATGGATTTTAAAACCGTAAGTTTAATTTTTGAAAAAAATGAGATCTATCTCTTTTTCTCTTAGATTTATATATCGTTTATTGGATGTTTCATTGAAAAAAGATCGAAATACGTTAATATGGATTCGGTTCGATGCATTTGCTAAACAATTGATATATAATACTCAATGTCAAGAGATTTATGTCACGTATGTCAAATTTATTCCAACAGGTAAGCGATATTTTTGTTTATTTTTTTATTTATTAGCATTCTTCAACGGCTGATTACTTCAATGGAAGATAAAAATAAGGTAAATTATTCAACTTGTTTTTTTTTCTGTTTCCGAATAATGAATTTCATCGAAAAAATCTGATTAGAGAACATAATAAAGAACCCAGAGGGGATGGAAATACGGGATTATTAGATGTTGCAAGCCGAAAAACAGTTTTTTCTACACGGTACCGTGACGATTCAAAAAAACATGGTCATTTTTTATTTTTATACATAAGCGAACAATAAAAATATTCTCTCATCCCGAGTTTTGTTCAGTTTTTTATACTCTTCCGAATGGTGTAGTTTCATTTTAAAAACAAATCAAAATTTTATTAATTATCTAACTCCAATACAAATATATAACCAAGTATTAAAAATCTGTCCAACTTTTTCTCTCGTTTAATTTTTCGACTATAATATTGTCATTACTCAATGAAAATTAAAAAGTCTTTTTACCAAAATGATCAGTGAAAAAAACTCTACAAAATTCGTTTATGTGTAAAAAGAAATATGACCATGCGTTTTTGAACCCTTACGGTAATACTCTTTCTTAAATAGTTGATTCTCCTCCACCGGAAAAAATTACTGGGTGCGTGCCTAGACATGGGCAAAATCAGGTTTTTTTAAGTTGGGAACCAGCAATAATTTTTTCTAGAATCGCATCGGAATCGTGAAAATCAATTTTAAGAATCGGCATTGGAATCGTCTATGTTACAATTCTTTGAATTATAAGTTTTACCCGTTCCTTTCGTTTACATGAAAAACATTTAATTGTTATTATTAATTAATAGGTTCTTGTTTTTTTTAATTATTTTTGTACTACTTTGAAATTATTCAAATCCAGAACAATTAATTTAAGATTTTAGTTTTTAAAACAATTATAACCAGAAATGGCACCGATACCAAAATTTTTGTATTTTGAGATCGGAACCGGCAATAAGTTTTTTTAGAATCGCAATCGGAATCAGACTCGCCGATTCCGGTTCCGGTTCCGATGCGGTATCGCCCATGCCTATGCGTGCCTGAGAGAATATGTCAAAATCTCAATGAGTTCTTACGCAATCTAGAATAATTTGATTTTTTTGGCTTCCTACGCTTGTTATTGTTAACAGTATCATCGTACTTTCGTACTGATATGACTCAAAATTACAGCATTACTAAGACATTTAGCATTGATTAGACGTGTAACTAGACGATAGCTAGAGACGCTGATTAGTTGTTTCCCCCTTGAGTAGATTTCAGATATGACTATATCATAAAATCGCTGATATTTTTAATTAATCGAAATTTTTTATATATATTTTTCTCTTTCTGTTCGACTGTTTTATCCATTAAAGATTGCTCGTTTATGTCGTCTGTTCGAAAAACAATTTCCCAATTGTGGTATTATCTCTCAACAACTTCGACAAATTATTTTCAATTCAACGATGACTACAAACGATACTGGCACTACAATCATATCATAATATCTAGGGAAAAAGAAATGAGTAGTATTGATATTTATTAAGGGAAAGAAAATTTCATAGGCAAAATTCTTTCATTCTTCTAAAAAAAAATTTTCTTTCTTTATACTCTTTTGTTTTTTTCTTGCATGTCTTTCAAAATGGCTCTTGCTACCAATGGTTTATTTTTTGATTTTGTTATCGTCGATATGCACATATACATATATATATATATGTCATGAGTGTTATTTTTGTTTTATATTTCAAGCAACAGAAATGAAAAAAGAAGAAACAACAAACAAATACGAGTGATGTTCACTCAATTATGGATGTATACATGCGCATATTTTTTTTCGTGTTTTCATATATACATACATACATATATATATATATATTTATGTTTTTACTCTAAAGATCATTGTGAAAACATTTGTGAGATAGATTTGAATAAAAATAACAGCAAAGAAAAAACTGATTTTTATCTAAAGAGAATGAACAAATTTGATCTATTAAATTATTTCTTTTGAATAACTGATGATAGATTGGAATTTCATTTGATGTTTCCGTGTCACGTAAGTGATTAATCGCTGTTTTTCTCAGATAAAGAATCCAAAAAAAAAACATGCCTATATTCAAATCTCATGTAATATGTTTTATCGCCATCCAAATTCTTCTAATCGAATGTAAGTATCTGTATTTTTTAAATATATTTTCACTGTAAAAAAAGAGAAGAGACATGATATAAACTAAGATTTATCTTTGACAAAATCTCGATAAAATAAATCTTGAATATAGAGAAGAATTGCAATTGGTTGAATCAGAATAAGTGATATCCATACAGCTACATTTCCATATGTTTTACTTTCACTTCTAACTAGTCGTACAGCAAAACCCATTGGAACTTGAACCATCATTGCAAGAAAACTCCATGGACGGACCATACGTAACGGTACACTAATTAAATACTAAATCCAAAAAAAAAAGAATATAATAATTTAATCGAAAAAAATCATAAATTACTTCATGGAAAAATGCACTTATAGCGAATACAACTAATGAACCAATTAGTTTATTAAAACCATAATGATCAACTAACGGTTTATAAACATGACGTTTACAAAAATCATGTACACTTGTATTCCAACGATTCCAAAATTCATATAAATCAGTTGCATTCCACCAATCACGATAAAAAAGTCGATCACCAAAACATAATAATTCAGCAAGAAGATTTAATGTTGAATGAAAATAAACATAGAATAATATTAACCATAGGAGATGATTTGGTAAAGCAAGACGTAGAAGACGTTCAATATTTTGTAATGCAGAATATTGATTAAGTGGTCGATCAAGTGTACGTAAAATCGGTAATATCCATTGTTGTCCAAGACAATATTGTAATGATAAAAGAACGAGAATTTCACCACAACGTCTTATTATAAATCGTATACGTATACGTGGTGATCGAGGAAAATTTAATTCATAACAAAGTGTTGGAGCAAACATAAAATAATAGAGATTTTTATATGTTAAATTATTTGGATAAACTACTGGATGTTTTGATACATTCGTAGATGATTCATGTGAATCTATGGTAAAGAAAATTTTAATTCGACGAAAAAAAAAATTTTTTGTTTTTTTCTTTACCATTTTTTTTCTCAATTAAAGCTTGTCGACATCGATGATTGATATGTACATAGGAGAATAGTTTTAAAAATACTATTGAATAAATACATACAGCAATAAATGCACCAACGGGATTTGGTTGACGATAATAAACATAAGCAGCTGGAAATATTAATATTGTAATAAAATTTAAAAATTGAAGACATATCCATTTATTTTTAGCTTTAGAATTTAATATTAATGTATGACTTAGTTTTAATTGTAGTACAAATTCAAATATAATGAAGCAATTGACTAATAGAATAAGAAGTACCTTAAATAGAATAGTTGTTTTTTTTTTCGAATACATAAATAAATGAAGAATATAACTAACCGATGGCCAATTTGTTGGATCTTGTATAAATCTTAATGGCCAATCAAATTCGACTAATAAACCATACTGAAGAATATTCTCTAGTACGAGACGACAACTTCCTAACGCCAGTATAACATAAAGTAGATTGAGAAAACCGCGATAATTTTCATAACCACTTGACGCTGATAGCAATGATGGCCGTTCTACAACCGATCGTACAGACATACTAACGAGTTAGATATCAAATGTGTACAAGAAAGAAAAAATAGATACCTTGATGACATGGCATATCAACGAGAGAAGTCATTTCTGTTCGTTAGAACAAAAGAAAATAAATTGTGATACTGATTGTATATAGATGTCTATATATGTGTAAGAGAACAACAAAAATAAAAACGTAATGTGTGTGTATGATAAAATGTAAGATAAATTGTATGACATCATCTTATCTTTTGATTATGCAAGTTTAAAGTTGTATAAGTATACGAAAAACTTGCGATTTTATTTTTATTGTAAAACATAAGATAGATATTATTTAATAGTTTCTTTTTTTGTACTATAAATTATTTAGAATTATGTAACTTTTAATTTCATTTTTCTGAGAATAGCAACTTTGAAAATATTACGTTTCATATGAAACATTAAGAATGATTGTTTGTACTACATTTAACATAGCAAAATAAACTTTCTATGTTATCTTTATATGACGTATATTAAAAGATAAGTTGTTATCATTTTATCCGAAAAACTTTTGAAATAGACCGGCCAATTAATTATTACGTCGATAAGTTTTTTTCTATTAATTAATTCATTTGTATTATTTGAAGAGTTTTCTTTTGATCGAAACTAATGTCATTGTTTATTACTAAAAGAATGTAAGTTCTTCTATCATATAATATTTACAATTAACAACTATAATAAGATACGTATGAACACTTAACATGTATCTATGTCATCATTTCTATTGTTTCGATAAGTCAACTTTTATTTTGATGACAAGAAAATTTTCTCTTCTTCTCCTCCTCCTCTCTCTCGTTCAAGTTGTTATTATCAGAAAAAAGATTCATTGAAGATTATTTCTGCTTTCATCAATCTATACTTGAATAAAAATAATAATATAAAAAGAAATCATATTCTTTTCTTTTTGCATGAGTACATTACATATATATAGAAATTTATCGATAATAATTTCCTTTTCGTTATCAATTAACGAAGATTCAATTTAAAAGGTAACAGATTTGATAATAATATTACTAAATATGTTATTAGCTTATTTTTCTTCTATATTACATTTAGTAAAATAATTAGATGATAATCCTCTAGGGTATTTTTATTCTAGACTCGATCTCTTATCATTTTTCTTATGTCGATCAGGATCAATCAAGCTGTGCTTTTCCGGAAAGTCGCTATGAGAATATGAAAGTATCCAAAAAAATGGGCATGAGTGTGAATAACAGAGTGTTGTTGAATTTTTTTGTGGAGGAGGATGAATACTAAAGTAATGAGAAAAATAAGATGAAAAAAAAAAAGAATCATATAAGAGACGAGATATATAACTATTGAGTGTTCGTTAGAAGATAGCGAGATGTCACATTATATATATATATATACATATCTTCTTCTTTCAATAAAATAATAATTTGATAAATTACTCACTAGTACCTATGTTGTCAGTAAATCATTTGCGGATTTTAACATGTAAATGTAGAACGTAAGTATTATTTTTTTTGTGTTATGGCATCAGCTGTAATAGATATATATGTATGTGATGGTATGAATGAGTAAAAAAAGAGATGCCCCCACGCAGGATCGAACTATGGACCTCCAGTTTACAAGACTGGCGCTCTACCACTGAGCTATAGGGGCTATGGAAATCAAAAATGACCATTAAAATTTCCAATTGGCTAAAAAATTGAATTTTTGTTTTTGAGATGTTATAAACTCTAAATATATTTCAATTGCCTTGAGATTATATGAAAAAGAAAGAGAAATGTATACAACAAATCTGATGGAGTACCAAAATAAGAAGACAAAAGAACCCTAATATTTTTAATATCCGCAATCATTTCTTCTATTTCATATATATATATATTCTCTTTGTTTTTCTTATTTCATATAATATCAATTTATAGATTTTTCCTACAACTTTTATTCTAAGACAAAATAATATAATAATGATGCCATCAAATATTATCATTTTACAATTCTCTATTACTTTTCTTCTCATGATGACATTTTCATCAACAACTATTATACCTCAAACAACAGAAATGTTATCGGAAACTTCCCAGTCCTATCATGATGAGGTAATTCATATTATTTATTAGAAATAATTATTTAAATTTACAAAAAACATTTCTAGCATAAACCAACTGCTGATATTGAAAATTATCATCATAAACTTCATGGTGTTCCAATAGCTTCAAAACATATTGCTTATACAAATGATGATAGTCCAAGTGAAGAAGAATATGACATTGATTATCTTCCAATTTATCATTATGAAGCATTTCAACATGAATTAAACAACAACAACAAACGAGAAACAGATGAAGGTACTGGTGGTGAAAATCGTGCATGGGCAATACCATATCGATTTGGTAAACGAGCTGCTATGCCCTATCGATTCGGTAAACGAGCTGCTATGCCATATCGATTTGGTAAACGTGCTGGCATGCATTTTCGACTTGGAAAGAAAAGTGCCTCATTGTAAAAACTCAGACACAATTATTGTGGAATATGAGAAAATTTTATGTAGTATGTTAATCATAAGAAATTATGGAATTTATTGAATTTTCAAATATATATTGTAATGTATTTTTTTGCATTATACAATTCCATAAAGAATCATTTATTGATATTGAAAATCATTTGTTTTTTTTTCGTTAATTATAATTCATGCTTTTCAATATGCACGCATTTAAACAAATTGATATTTTCCAACAGGAATGTAGTCCGGAAAGCCAATGGCAGATAGAAGGACGCCTACTTTCTTTTTTTTACTTATTTTAAGCTTCTACAAAAAAGGAAAAAATTATTTCCATACGGAACGCAACAAGAAATAATCCTCTAAGTTAATAAATCAAGCACACGAGAATGGAATAAAACCTGCTGTTTGTAAATCACAAATTCATTCTTCGTTTAACAATTTTTTTTCAAATGACTAATCTTTTGTTCTACTTTGATTTTATTGTTATGCAATCAGATTTTTATATGATTAAGTCAATATTCTTTTCAATCAGTTTTGTTAATGCAAACAAAACTTCTTTCTTTAGAAAAAATCTCATAATCCATTGAAATGCACTTAAAGTATGACTGCATACATTTATTCTTCACCTTTTTTTCTCTATTTCTGATACATTCAAGTTTATTATTGCCCTAAAAGATTTTTTTCAAGTATTTATATAGGATCACATAAGAACAAATACTCTTTAATTGTTCACATAGAACAAATTGAACGTCTGTTTCTTTCTCTATTTCAAATCGAAAAATGTTATTTAGAATAGACATCTGCTCATAATCAGAATCGAACTGAAAAAAAGAAAAATCTCTCTTCTCACTATGTCAATAATGTATAGATTCGAGTGTGTTTTTTCCACCTTATAGTAATTTGCATCCATTCTTGCAATAGAATAGAAATGTGTTGTTATATTCTCAAAAAAATCTAATAAAAATAATCGAAGGATTTTTTTTCGAGTAGGAAAGAAACAGTATTATTAAGATTATTCCCTCCGGTCATATTACATGATGTGCTAATTTTATTCTCGATGTCTATATTGCGTACTTTACTTTCGAGAACTAACAGACATACTCTCGTATGTATGTGTATCATCTTAGTACATCCGGTCACACGAGTGTATCATCGACAATAAGAGACGAACGAAAAGACAATGCTTATAATCGATCGTTATAATACAAGTATCTATTTATTCTACTAGTAGAGAGTGTACATTCGATAGTAAATATAAAGACGAGAGTAGTCTGCATTAGATGACTCGTATAATTATTTATGGTTCTAATCAATCTAGTTGGTAAAGACAAGGTAAGTATTTCTTTAATAACAATAATAAATTGTTCATGTCAATTTTTTATTTGCTTAAACTTTTATTAAGTCGTACAAACTTCATTTTATTATTAAAAGAAAATACTATCTAGATTATTTATTTTAATATATTTCTACGACATTTTTTTTGTTTTTAAAATATATAAAATCATCAAAACTCTATTTGATCGTAGTAGAAAAGAAGAAGAAGAAGAAAAAAATTTGAAACCTTATTGATGCAAGCAAGAAAGAAAACTCTTTATCTGAGACGACATATTTCTTTTCTTTTTATTTTCCTGTACTATTTTTATCACATAGAAAAAAAAGAAGAAAGATCGACGACTACATCAATGCTAGTAAATGAGAAAAAATTTCTCGTGCCATTTTCTCTTCTCCTATTCAAATATATGTTTTACAGAAGAAAAAAAAAGACTATTGATAATATGTATTTAAGATAAAATCTTCTGCTATTACGTACTCTTATATTCATGTATGACAATGTCCGAATTACTAACTAAATTAAGTGGACGATTATGTTTTCATGGATTTTTATCAATATCGATTCCTGTCAGATCACGTCAACGAATATTTTATCTACTTTTTAGTCTTCATGTCATATTTTTTCTTATTGTTTATCATCGTCTTATACTAATAACTCCTTCATCTACTACAAACAAAATTTCAACTAATAATGCTAAATCATCGTCATCATCATCTATTTGTCATATACCAGATTTGAATCCATGGGACCAAACAGTTTCAAAATCATTAAATATTAAACCATTATATGTTTGTCCGAAACATAAAAAAAATTTAATCAATATTATTAATCATACTAAATTATTTATAAATCAGACTGTAAATAAAACATATTTTTCTGGTTTAATAACACATTGTGTTTATTTGAAAGTTGATAGAAATCCTGAAGAAAAACATTTTCGTGATTGGTCTTATACTTTATCTGAACCGATATTAATAATTAATGGACGTACAGAATCGATTTTAGATGCTGATTTTGTTTTAACACGGTGTTATAATAATCGAAAAGAATATTTTCATGGAGAATATTTCTGGTATGTTTAATCGTTATAAATATTAATATTACTTTTGTTAAGTGAAATCAGGTTTTAAAGCGAGCATTTTATATTTTTTATTTATTATTCATAGACTAAAATATTTTTGAAAAATGTTCTTTTTTCTTGATGCTTTTAGCAGATGTATTAAATGAATTGGAATAAGTATAATTTAATCGAGCAAATGATAAATAGAAGTAAAAATTTATGCATATTAATTACAGATGATATCATATGAATTAAGTTTAAAAAAAAGAAATGACTCTTTGATATAGTTTTTTTTTTCAACGAGCAATAATAATACAAGTGCAACTAGTCGATGAATATATTACTTTAAAAAATTGATACTTCATAGTTGAGTGCTGAATAGGTTATTCTATTAAATTTAAAACATAAAATAAAAGTTTTACAAAAGAATCGTTGTTTTTTAGTTATTAACTTGTAAAATTATTTATATGCAAAACAGATAGTTAATAGTCAGATATTTGAGAAGCAGACAAAAAGCTCGAATTTCGATCTCTTTAATCCTTGCATCAAATAGAGAAATATTAGCATATGTTCTAATGAAACAGAACATTTTCTTTTATTTAGTGGTTATAATTGTTCAAAGTATAAAAATATGAGTCAAGTTCAAAAACAAATTCTACGAAATCGTACACTTGTCTATGAATATATTCATCCAATAATTCGTTTAAAAAAATTACCATTTCCATCGAAAATTTGGTCAGAAAAAATTTCAAAAAAACTTTTTTCATCTAATTATTCTCCGCCATCTGTAATTACGGTTATATTAGATGCAGTTAGTAATCTTCAAGCACAACGTGCATTACCACATACATTATCTTATTTAAAATCTCTTGGTTTATATACATTTCAACGTCATACAGTTGTTGGTGATGGTACTTTTGAAAATATTATACCGATGTTATTTGGTCAATTAGCTAGTGATTTACAAATACCAAATTTAAATGATAGTCGATATGAATTTCTTACAACCGAGATTCTAATTGATCGTAAAACAAAAAATCGTACAGAAATAAAAAAAATTGTTCATTATCCAGGACCCTATGATAATTATTCTTTTATTATAAAAAATTTTTCAAAATTAAATTATACAACATTTTTTAGTGAAGAATGGCGTGATAGTGCTTTGTATAATTTAAAAAATGGTTTTCGTCAATCACCAACAGACTATTATTTACGTCCATATTGGTTATCATTATATGAAACATTATCCTATAATACATTTTCAGGAAATTCAAATCCAAAGCCATGTTATTTAGATAAATTATTACATTTTTTATCATTAGATTGGTTAAAAGAATTTTTAAATATTTACCATAAAACACCTAATTATCCAACATTTGGTATAATGAAAATGAATGAAATGAGCCATGATTATTTAGAAAGACTTTTTTGGATTGATAGAGATTTAAAAACATTTTTTCAAGATTTAATTGAAAAAAATTTATTAGATAATACAATATTAATATTTTGTGGTGATCATGGTCATAGACAACATCGTTTAAGACTTACACGTATTGGAAGTTTCGAAGTTAAATTACCATTTTTTTCAATACTTCTACCTAAATCATTTGAAAAAAAATTTCCACAAGCTATTGCAAATCTTAAAAATAATCAGAAAAGTAAGTTTCATATTCTCGTAATGGCAGGAAGTTGAGTTAACATTATATAACACTTTTATGTTAATATTTAAATAGTAATTAAATACAGTATGGATACATTTCCCGTATTAGTAATATTTAACTATCGCTCTTACTCTCATGAATAATTTTTTTAATTAGTTAAATCCGATTAGATGTATTTATTTATCTTCATAGCGTTGACATCATGGTGGGACGTCTATGAAACTTTTGTTAATATTTTAAAAATGGTTGAACAACCACATCTACTCGATCCTCTTCGCGTTAAATGGCAACCAACAACATCGGGTATATCACTTTTTCATCCTATACCTGAACGAAATTGTTCATCTGCTGGTATACCAGGTAAATAGAATCATTCAAATGTAGTCAAGTTAAGTGCACTCAAAAAGGTTCACCAATTCTAAAATCCCTTTCGGGTTCAAACATAGTTGGTTATAGGTAATCGACCATGCTGAATCCGAATAACACGGTCGTTATTGGGAATGGAGTCCAAAAGGTCTTAGTTTTCCATTAGAAATTTTTTTTTGTTTTTTTCTGAAATGATTTTCTGATGTTACTAGGTGATAGAACACATTAAATTGCATATGAAAAATTATTGTTTTAGCACACTGACGTGAGGTACTATAACTAAAGACTGGCGTGACTAGCCACGACAGTCACAAGTATAGGGAAGAACATGGGTAAAAGTGGATACGTAATATATGAATAAGCAATTCAAATATTCCGTACTCATTTTTTCCCGTACACTTTTTAATGGAAAATTGTTTTTCTAGAAAACCAAGGACTCCAGTAGCAGTAACGATTGTGTTATTCGGATTCAGCATGGTCGATTATCTATGACCGACTATGTTTGAACCCGAAAGGCATTTTAGAGTTGGTGAACCTTCCTCGTCATTACAGTCCAGAGTAACTATTAGGGCAATCAAAACAGTTTTCAGGTAGAGTTTTTTGCGAAAACTTAGACATCCGTAAACTCCAAATCTAACCTTCAAATATTATTTTTTTCTCTTCGATAAATTTTGTTTTTTTTTCTATTTAAGATAAATATTGTCCATGTTCACTTACAATACCACTTGATATAGAATTACCTATCATTAAAGAATTAGCTATTTATAGTATTAATTATATAAATAATATAAAATTAAAAAATCATAAACATCTATGCATGCCACTTGAATTAAAAACAATAATTCGTGCTGAACTTGAAGAATTAGATGTACCAATGAGAATACCGAATGATACAATAAAATCAAATTTTACTCATTTATATACAGTTCTCTTTGAAGTATCACCTTCTGATGGAATATTTGAAAGTCGTTTACTTTATGATTCTACAACAAAACGAATTCGATTACATAGTGGAATTCTTCGAATTAATCTTTATGGTCAAACATCTGCATGTATCCAAGATAAATATGATTTACGTTCGTTTTGTTATTGTATTTCTTATTATAGACGATTAAAAAATAATTCTCAGAATAACAACAATAATTCTTCTAAATCAATTCCAATCACTACTACGAAAATAAAAACTAAAAGCTAGATTGTTTTGTGTTCTTTTTTATTATAAAACTTGATCGCTGGCGATTACTATTTTGTTATTCTATTTGTTATTAAATAAAAATATTGATAAATAATATGTTTTGCTCTGTTATTATTTCTTTGTTTTCAAAGCAAATATTTTTATTTTCGAATTAAATTCTTTTTTTCATATTTATTTTTTTCCAACACCACCAATTAAACCAAGTGCTATAAGATATTCAAGGCTATTAACGGATGATCCATCTAACAAGATAGAAAAAAAAATATATATAAAATATAATAAACAATAGGTTTACTTACGAATACAATTATTATTAAGCATAACATAACCTGCACAACATTTATAATCGGCTGGAGCGCAAAATGTATGTGAATTTGGTACGAGATGAGTTATAGTTGTATATTCAATAGTCGTACTAAATATTTATAAGAAAACAAATTTACGAATTAAAAAATAAGCATCTACTAACTAAGTTTCTGTCTTAGTAACTGGTGTCCACATACATCCAGTTGTTGTTTGTGTGTTAGTTGATGGTGTTGTTTGTCCTTTTATTGGACGTGCTGTTGCAGTTGGAATTGGTACTGGTGGACCTTCAATAGATAAATTTTTTTTTTTTCATCATATATATAGTTTAACAAATCATTAAAATACGTTCTGGATTGAGATTTCCATGACAATCTTGATAACCAACTATAACACTATGTGTTTTTTGTACTATTGATGTTACTACTTTACTAACGACTTCATCATTATTAACATGTTGCCAATTTGTACAACAATATGCACTTGTACTATTGAAAATAGAATTATTCTTTAGAAAAATAATATTATATATTTACTCTCGTTCATTATCAGCAGCACGCTTTGAATTGAATTCTTGAGCTATATGTTGATATTCTTCAGGTAATAAAGATAAATCACGTTCAAGATTTTCAATGTATTCAGGTAATGCAAATATCTAAAGTTAATCAATCATTTGAGAAAAAAAAATATGTAAATATAGATATTACATGCACTGCTAAAGCAATTAAGCAAACGATTGTCGTAGTTCGAAGCATTGTCTTATAATAACGAAGGTAAATCACAATATTGAGAATATAATACAATCTGCATGTCTTTATTCGATGAGAAAAACAGCAGATGATATATTTTCTCATGTATACGAATCAGACCATTATTATTGTTCTAAATAAAGAAAAATTTATCTTATTGGACAATAACAAATGCATATCAGTGACAAAAAGTTAAAATATAATTATTGTTTTATATGAAAAATAATAACTAAAAAATTGAGAATTGCATGTTAACTGATAGAAGAATCTATACCAAGGTTAAATTCATTTTGTGTCTTACTTTCATACTCATCAAACACTCTGATTTCGACTTATTTGCATCATTGTCAATTAAATGAAGATCTAAAACGGATACATGTGCAAAATAAATATATAGAATTTTTATTAGCGATTAAAATATCTTGTTGTTAGTTTTTTTTTTAAAGTGATAATCACAAAAAGAAGAATAATGTGTATCGTCATCTGATTAAATAAAATAGGCAAGAATAAACTAAAATTTCCAAAAACAAATATCATTTATGATTCAATTAATTTCGTCGTCATCGTCGTCGTCGTTGTTGTTGTTTTAATATCATCATCTTGTTCAACAAGTTCAGTTAATTCTGTATCATTATGAATAACAGATACAGTACGAGATAGATTGGCTTTTTCTAATAAATCTAATAGAAGATCAACAACCGTATCAGCAAATTGTTTTTTATCAACTGTTTGAATTGATGATTGATTACCATTGAATATTGTTTCATTATTATTATTATCATTATGATTATTATTATTATAGATTACAAGTGGTTGACTAGGTTCAGTTTCATTAAAATCTAAAATAATAAAACTGTTTTTTTTTTTTGTTTTATAAACGAGAGAAGAAAAAATTACTTGATGAATTATATGATGGTATAAGTCCAGTGTGAACATGACCAGTAAAAAGTAGAAGAAAGAAGATGATGATGATCATTATTTTTTCGAATGTGAATAGAAATTGTTATAGTATTGAATTTTTCATTGATTCTTTTTATCTGTTCTTTCTTTTTTTTTTTAATTTTCATTCCTTATCTAAATAATTGACTCTTGAATGATGGAACTGTTTATATAATCACCTTGATCGTTTGATTTAAATAACATCACTTTCATTTTTATTGCATAAACATGAATACACAATAAATGAATAAAAAAAAGTTAATCATAATACCTTTATACATATATCTATCGTGATCTATTCTGTATCGATTGCATAACATTTCTAACGAAATTGAATCTTATCTGTGATTTCGAACTCTATTCATTCTTTTATCATTGAACACACTTATCAGTACACAAAATACAGGGGTGGAGCGATCGGGGAGTGTCGGGGGTGTAACACCCCCTCACCAATCTTCGAAAAGTTCTATTTTTGTTACACCTTCCCTGACAAAATATCTTGTAATATTCTTTTATAGTATTTAATTAAACTATATAACAGAAATTTGTGCATGTCAGATAATTTGTATTCGAGACTGTATGAATGACTATGATTATTCGATGATTTGTTTAACAGTGGTTTTAAGAAGATAATCAAATCAATATGTGTTGTACAGATATTTATTTATTGTAATATACAAGTTAATCTTTTATATAATATTTAATTATCCACATAAACTATCGATTTACGAAATAAATTAATACATAATCTTAGAATTTTCTATTACATTTCTTTGTCTCAATAATTATGCTTACAATACTTATTGTTTCTCATATGGAACTATATCATTTTCAATATCTGCACATATGTCGAATAGCGACTAACTTCTTTTAATTATTTACGAAGTTTTTCATAAAGATAAAAGTTAATGATGATGCTTTTATATATATATATTACTGAAGGCCAGAAAAAAAGAAAAACTATCACATATAAGAAATATAAAAGAGATAGTATTGAAATTGGTAACAGCTGTATGTTATGATATATGAAGACAAAAGCAAAACGTCATCTTTCTTTTTTACATTCTATTCACTAGAAAAATATGTCGAATCTATTGAGTGAAGATAAGTCTCTATTGCAACATTCGACACAAAAATCAGAACCAGCTTATATTAAATTTGATCAAATGTCTGATACAAAAAATATACGTTCAAGATATAATAAAGTAGATATGAATGGAATTATTAATAAAAAAATATGATAAATTTCATTTGATTTTCATAGTTTAATACTTCAGCAGAGATAGCAGCAAATCCTGCTCATTATGTTTTAAGTACTGGTGATTTTAATCCTAATGAGAAAGAAAATGATGCTCGTCTTATTTCTCGAAATAAACATGATACTACACAAATTATTTTTATGGTGTTTACTGCTCTCGCCTATCTTCTTCATACATTGAGAGCTTATATACCAGAAACAATACAAACAAATTCGCGTAATAAAACAATCTTTAATATAATATAATATTCTTTTCTATTTTTAAAAGAATTCTGGTCATATCTAGCAATACGACCTATTACTCGTGTTTATACATCAGATATACGACCAAGTATAGTGATCGAAAGTTTATTATATCGTTTAGCAGAAAACTGGCAGGTATTTTCTTTTATTTCTTATTTATTTGCCTATGATTTTTCTATATTTAGGCATTTTGGTTAATCTATGTTTTATCATACATTCCAAGACGTACTCATATTGGATTTCTTTATCGAAATCCGAATATATTTAATTCATTTCTTTGTTTTCTTCTCATCAGTGCATTATCTTTTCAAACACTTAGTCAATCATCTCTATCAGCAGAAGTATATTTATTGAACTTTAATCTTATTTTTTAAATAAAATAAAAACTTATTTCTTTAGATATCTTGTGTATGTTTAATTCTTAGTTTATGTCTTCTCGTGGTAACTTGCCGACTTACTGCCGTAAATTTATTAAAATACGAAGAGAAATATAAAGCCGCTGGCTTGTAAGTTGATTTACATGTTAGTATATATTTCTATTTTATAATTTATGCTTAGATCATTTGATTTAATCATCTTACGTTATTTCGTTTTAAACAGCCTTTTTCTTTATACTACATCAGTTGCCTATTCAACAACATGTGCTATTATTGAATATATTGGTATTCATCTCGACCCAAATACAGTCTCACCAACATTTACTAGTATTTGTACAACAATAGGCTTAACAATAATGCTTTTTCTTCTTTTTATTTATTATCTTCTTGATCAATTTGTTTATAAAGATGAATTTCGATCAATATGGACACCTTATTTATTTATTGGGTATATTTTTATTTATCCACCCTTACGCCAATTATCCTTACTTGATACAGATGTGAATTCAAATAATTTAAATTATTATTTATTTTGGATATTTTGTACGATTACAATATTAATGATTTGTATACGGTTATATCAACAAATATCTGTTAAATGTAAACGATCGAAAAAGAAAATACGTATTAGTTCACATATTGATCAAGTAACTACATAAACAAACATACGAAAAAACTAGAATCTTTTTTTTTTCTGTTTTTTTTGAAATAAATAAGAAAATTATTTGGGTACTGAAAAAATTTTATTTTCTAATAATAATATAATTCGACATCAGTATATATTATGGAATAATCTTTGCTCCAATTAAACAATAAATCATCACAGATTAAAATTTTCATAGAAAAATAAATGAATTATTATAAATAATATTTACTATGTTTCAATATGCAAGGATTTTATTTAGATTGGTACAATGTATCTATATATAAATTTAAATTTTGTGTATTATTTGTGAGTAATAATTATTCAAAATCTTTTCTCGATTTATTTAATTAAAATAATGAAAACAAAATTTAATATAAAATGATTTGTTTTAATTCTTCATTTGATTACATTATTCTTGTCTTAATCAGAAATTGTCTGAACATAATCATAACATATACATAAATATTTAAAAAAAATTTTTAGATTATTTTGAGAAGATTAAATCTTTTTTTTATTACAGAGAATACTCTCGTAAACGATTAGAAAGGTAGATATGTCTGACAAGATCATTCATTCATACATATATGTATGTATGTGTACTACCTTATCAGTCGGCTTTGTACAATACATTTTAATTATTTACAGAGATTCTCTGTACGTGTGCGCGAATCACTATAAAATAGAATTACCTCGAAAATAAGTGAACAAAACGTTCTTTTATTCAATATTCTTTATAATTTCTTCTTTTACAGTTTCAACATTCTTTCTCACAGTTTCTACATGAAGATCAGTTGGAGGCAATACACGTTGTAGTATGTCTAGAGTACGTTCTAAATATGTCAGTGATTTCGAACAGTCTTTCATATTGTAATATACATTAGCGATGCTGTGGTAGGAACTAGCCAAGTCAGGATGATCTGAAGGAAGAATTTTTTGCAAAATTTCAAGTGCTTTTTTATAAAATGAAAGTGCTTTCGAGTACTCTTCCATCTTGTCATACACACCACCGATGTTACTGTATGAAATAGCCAAATCAGGATGATTTGAAGGAAGAGTTTTTTCTCGAATTTCAAGTGCTTTTTCGTAATATGAAAGTGCATTCAAGTACTCTCTTTTGTTGCTATATACCAAACCGATGTTGTTGTATGAAGTAGCCAATGAAGGATGATTCGAAGGAAGAGTTTTTTGAAAGATTTCAAGTGCTTTTTCGTGAGATGAAAGTGCTTTCGAGTACTCTCCCATCTCGTCATACACCGAACCGATGTTGTTGTATGAGTAGGCAAAATCAGGATGATTTGAAGGAAGAATTTTTTCTCGAATTTCAAGCGCTTTTTCGAGAGATGAAAGTGCTTTCGAGTACTCTCCCATGTTGAGATACACACTACCGTTGTTGTTGTATAAATAAGGGAAATAAGGATGATTTGAAGGAAGAGTTTTTTGCCAAATTTCAAGTGCTTTTTCATAAAATGACATCGTTTTCGAGTATTCTCCCATCTTATAATACACAGCACCAATATTATTGTATGACGCGGCCAGTAAAGGATGATTTGTAGGAAGAGTTTTTTTCAACATTTCAAGTGCGCTTTCGAAAAATGATAGTGCTTTCGAGTACTCTCCTATGTATTCATACACATTACCGATGTTGTTGTATGAAGTAGCCAATGAAGGATGAGTTGAAGGAAAAGCTTTCTGTTGAATTTCAAGTGCTTTTTCGTGAGATAAAAGTGCTTTCGAGTACTCTCCCATTTTTTGATAGTCAGTACCGATGTTGTTGTATGTAGTAGCCAACTCAGGATGATTAGAGGGAAATTTTTTTTGCAAAATTTGTAGTCCTTGTTCGTGATACCAAATAGCCTTTTCATAATCACCCTGTACACTTTTGATATATCCCAGCTGATTATAATAGTACTGCTTTTCACCCTCATCAGGTGTCAGGTCGAATAATTCGTTATAAAGTTCTTCAGCTTTATTAAATTGACCGATTTTAAGCAATAAGTTACCCAGTGCGTACCATCCAGTACCACCGCCACCTTCTTCTCGTATTCTCTCAGTAAGCAATTGTAGTTGTTGATCATCATCTGACGTTAATTGTAATTCAACTTGATAAAGTTGATTTTTATTATCCATTTGTTTAATTGCACCCACTCGAAAAACGGTATGCATGGAGAAGAGAATTTCATCTTCCTCGTTATAATAACTCGTCTGTTTGATGGAGGTAAATGGCACTGATTTAACACGTGGATCAATTAACATCTTGAAAAGAATGCCGACCATGTCCACATTATCTGACGCGCTCTGGGCAAATAACAGGGAGATGTCTTCCTCCGTACTAGTGGATAAAAAGTTATTAAAGGACATTAAACCAGCTTTTGTTTGTTGCAGTTTTTCAAAATTTGCTTTGGATAGACCTTGTCCCCGGTAAACGATGAATGGTTTATCGTGATAACTACTAAGTTGTTGTTGGTGTAGTTGTTGAATTTGCTGGTGAAGGTCATGCATGAAAAAGCCCATGTTAATAATGATATCGCTTTCCATAGAGCGAAGAGCGTAATTCAGCATAGAATAGATAAATGAGGGAGAAGTATACCACCAAATAGCTGATTGAGTATAGTATTCGTTTTCAAATTGATCAACATTCTTTGCTGATCCGAAGCCATGTTGTCGACAATAAGTTGTAAACTGTTTGACGATCTTTTTATCGTATTTCATATCAAGGAGAATTTCCTTGAATATTCGAGTATACATAAATGTTGGTTCTAATTGATTTAAATTATCAGTTGAAATCATTTCATTTGCCGTGATAAAACTCATGGCAATCGAATCTTGATTGCATTTCTTAATATGCAGTTGTAATACTTTGCATAAATCATCAATATTGGTATGAACGCTCCTGATTTTTGGCCATTTTGTTGTCCATTCTTCATGTTGGGATTTACTGCTACTGAAGATATAAACACTATGCAATTGAGGTATGTCATTCACGACTGGCATTATTTGTTGAGCCATAGTGTTTTCCAAAACGAGAAAAGACTTAATGTTTTCTTCAGCATCTGTAAGAAGGTCGATACATTCGTCTCGCTGCTTAAAGATATCGACATTGTCAGCAATAGTTTTTAATTGTGTCAAAATGCTTTGATATTCTTGATTCGGCTCATCCATACATTCATCTGAACAGAGAAGTGAATAATACCGAACCATTCGTCGCCTTGGTTGAATAGCATCCGATGGTGTTATGGTCGTGTTGTTGTTATTCATAAACGTGTTTGATGATAAAGAAGCTCTTAAATTGGATTCTGATCCGCTCATTTGATCCTTTTTATAATTTGATGTTGAATATAAGATTAGCAATAATTGTTGTTTTCTAAATGGTAAGAAGGGCTAGCGTCATGTGTTGTTCTATCCATGACGCCAATCTATCTTTCTTTTTCTTTTCTATACATCTTTCTATTCCCAGTATACATATACAGATTCTTTCTTTCCTCTCGAATATATATTGTCCGCTTGATTATCGTGATATTATGACGACCTTCTCCTATTGCTTTTTTTTCTTTTTTTCCTCTTTTGTTATGTATATAGAGTTGTCTTTTTCTTTTTTCCCCAGTTCTTGTTATTGATCTGATCTTGTTGCCTTCAATAAAATACGGATATCATCATCATTACTCTTTTTATTCTATACAAGGCATGGTGGGCACTTTTCATAATGAGTTTTCTCTCGATAGCCTCTTGATCCCAGCTAGCTAGTTCGTTATTCAGCCTACGATTATACTGGAGATTGAAGTCAGTCTACACCCTCTAACGAGAACCTCACACGAAGACTCACCACTCCTATTTATAATAGCAATGGCATATTTTTTCAGTCTTTTTTAGCATGTAAAATGTGTGTATATTTTTGCCAAGGTTCAATGAGGAACTTCAACTAGTGACTTTTTAGAATACTGCTGTGACGAGCAAGAGAAAGATCAATATAAATAAATTTTTTAACAACGTTTGCGACAAAACGAAATGATTTCGATTCGTCGTTATTCTTTCAATTTTTTTTGGCTTTATCTATGCAAATATTTTAGTAATTCAATATGTCACCGATACTTTTGTTATTGAAATGGATTAGAAATAGAAACATGATCTATTCAGTAAATATTACTTCTCTTCATCGTACATCGTTTTGTAGTTAAATGGCCGCAAGGAATCTGTTAGAACAAAAGGATTGTACCAGTGAATGAGAAATAGTTATTGATTTGAGAATATCGTAAGAGCTTTATTGTTTTCTTGAGGGTGAGTATATTTTTTTTACCTGTGATATGTTGTTTTTATTCAAAAAGAAAAGATTATTCATAAATCAATTCTAAATTATTACATTTATGTCGATATATTTTTTTCTAAATGTGAATTTTCTTCTGCTATTTGTTGTGCATTTGAACAAATGGGGCAACATTGAAGAGTTTGTTCATTTGCAAATTCTACAGTATAATATCCACCATTAAACGTTGATAAGTTTAGTTGACTCCAATTATGAAATGATTCATTAGATATTGTATCCATGTATTGACAATTAAACATGCTTCAGAAACACACACGCCAATCCAACTTCCAACTGTTCTCGTTGAAAATAATCTATCTTTTGGTATGATTCAATTGATTGATGTAGTTTTATAGATTGTGGTAGCAATAATTTCAGTACTTTTTGTTGATAATTGTAATGTTGAAGGTTAATGTAAATTGAACTCATTCGAACATTCTTTAATTTTAAATTTGAATGAATCATTTGTATTATTATTGTATGCCCAGTATGAATCGTTTAATAATCCAAAAAATAGATTAATTTCGCTATCATTAAATATAACTGTACATTTCTTAACTATCACAACAACACAAGACCAATTTGTAACAGCATCCATATGATAATCATAAATATTTGCTCTTAAATTATGCATGCATTTCAGATGTTGAGCTACAGCTTCTACTTTTGATTTACCGACATCTAATAAACTAAATAATATTTGTCGATTTAAATTAGATGCATCTACAAAATCACGATCAAGTAAATATATAGTTTTGTAGCTTTATCAAGCAATGAATATGAAATGTTTAATTGCATATCTAGAACGTTTAATTATTGCCAAATATCTTCAAACTTATATTTTAGTTTAGTTTATTTTCTTTTTTTACTAAATTTCGTTTAATAATCAAGTCTAAAAATAAAGAATGATACATTCAATATTTTCATCCTTGTCTTTTTTCAATTATTAATCTTGAGGGTGTGTGATGTGGGTGTCCATGTCGGTATACATAAAAGGTAGTTCACGCACATCTTCAATAAATAGATTAGTATATATTAGAGTTGTTTGTATTAATTATTTTTGTAATCAGAAGTTGCTTAGATCATAATAATAAGTAATAACATGATCGAAATGTTCACCGTAGCCATTCAGATAAACTTTTGTGTTACAATGTAGTACATAAAAAGTATTACGAGAAGTTTCAATAAGAGACTAAATATTTTGAATGTATATGGACATGTCTTAGTTTTTTGAGTTAGTGATTTTTCTTCAAAAGTTTGAATATAATATCAAGCTTTTGAGCGGAGAATGCAGAATGTGAGTGCAAATCTGGAGACAGTAACATTGACAGATATGTGACGAATTTCATCCATCACGATGTCTTACACATTCTTGACCGAACATGCCCGTCGTGCATACACATTCACATCGGTCACTTCCTATAGTTTCACCGATCTTTGTTTCTATTTTCACTTTCTTTCTTGGCCATTTCGCTTGAGAACAGGTCAGAAAGTTAGGTTCAGTCATACACTAAGTTGAACAAATAGATGAAACCAGTCCGGATTGTTTATGATCTATAAGATGTGGTTGTGATAAGAACAACACACATCTACCTGCACCCTCAACATTCTTTGGTCAAATTCAAAAAAATACTGTTGGAAAAGTTAACTATTTGTTCTTTTTCAGACACTCTTAATTATAAAAAGATACTCATCCACATTATATATTATTTTCTCATTAAAATCTACTAAACATATACATTAACGCCATCTTTTTGAAAAAAACTAACAATTCGTTATTGAAATTGTCACTAATCAATTCTTTTAGCTACGAGTTAATTACATCATTTTCCCTCCATACGCTATTATTAAAGCATACAAACGCAATATCACATAACATATTTTAACACTCTTTATTAAAATCTAACAAAAGTATGTGCACATTTCTTACATTACCAGTAGAGCTCGTTTATCGAATTCTGGACCATGAGAACGACTTTACATTGTTCTGGTCTATGCAAAATGTCTGCCATCGATTCAATCAAATCCTTAACAGTTATCCGCGATACCAGGTAAGTCTTTCATGTAGTTTCCATAGGTAACTATCATTTGTACGACCTATAAGCATAGTCAAATATTAGTCAATGAATTTACTAGGAGACAACATAATTTATCAAGTTAAAAGCATTTGGGGAAAGCTAGTCAATCATAATACTAGGTAATCTTTTAAAAAACAAACATTGCTTCTCTCTATTTTTTTCTAATAATTATTTCGATACAAGTGCAGTATACTTTCTCGCGGACATGGAACCATCAGACAAAGGTGTGGATGTAGATCTCGTTCGAAGAGTAATCACACACACCCATACCCTTCTAAGATTTTTTCCGCGATAGGACGGTCAAATCAAAAAATTAAATCGGCCGTTTGATAGAGCTCGTGCACTTCTATCTCGATCAACTCTTGCTGAAACTTGGTCTAACGCATAGAGAAATCCTGACTAAGGTATCTTACGTCTTCTTCACATAGGCAATGTCTACACTTCGTCTCTACAAGAATCAAATCACAGACGAAAAAGCACAACATGTTGCTGATTTATTAATAAACAACACAGTAGGTCTCATTCTCTCTTCAACTATCTTATATAAATATTTACACTTTTTCACACAGGCAATCATCATACATGAGCCGGCCGACAATCGAATCGGAGAGAAGGAACCACAACATCTTGTTGATTCATTAAAAAACAACACAGTAAAATGCATTGTCTCTTCAACTATCTCGTATACACATTTACACTTTGTCATACAGGCAATCATCATACATGATCCTGCTGGCAATCGAATCGGAGATCAGGAAGTACAACACCTTGCTGATTCAATAAGAAGCAACATAGTAAGTCCTTTTTTCTGTTCAACTATCTCATACAAACATTTACACTTTCTCACACAGACACTCACCACAGTTATTCTTGCTGGCAATTATATCGGAGTGATGGGAGTACGACATCTAGCTGTTTCTTTGAAAAACAATACAGTAAATCTCATTTTTTCTTCAACTATCTCATACACACATTTACACTTTCTCACACAGACACTCACCACACTTGATCTCCGTGAAAGTGGAATCGGAGAGAAGGGAGCACAATATCTTGCTGCTGCATTGATAAACAATACAGTAAATCCCATTTTCTCCACAATTATCTCACACATATTTACATTTTTTCACACAGACACTCATCACACTTAATCTCCACTTTAATCACATCGGAGACATAGGAGCACAATATCTTGCTGATGCATTAAGAAACAACACAGTAAATCTCATTTTTTCTTCAACTATCTCATACACACATTTACACTTTTTCACACAGACACTCACTACACTTGCCCTCGCATGCAATCAAATCGGCGACAAAGGAGCACAATATCTTGCTGATTCATTAAGAACCAACACAGTAAATCTCATTTTTTCTTCAACGATCTCATAGAATCATTGATACTTTTTCACACAGGCACTCACCACACTTTATCTCGACCTCAATGAAATCAGAGACCAAGGAACACAACGTCTTGCTGATTCATTAAGAAACAATAGAGTAAATCTTATTCTATCTTGAACAATCTCATACACACATTTACGTTTTTCACACAGACACTCACCACATTTTATTTCGACCACAATCAAATTGGAGAGAAGGGAGCACAACATCTTGTTGATTTATTAAAAACCAACACAGTAAATCTAATGTTTTCTTCAACTATTTCATATATACATTTGCACTTTTTTACACAGACACTTACAACACTTACTTTCTTCAACAATGGAATCGAGACGAAGTTTTTAGATCGTGTGTATGAACTTACTCAGAAGAATAAACGATTGGCTAAATCGTAAATATGAGTGATGAAGAGAGCGTTTTGGAACCATGTTTACTAAAGTGTCGATCTTGTTTTACTTTTTTTTACAATAAAATGATCATAATATATTGATTCTTGTTTAAGCTGTGTTCTGAACTGAAAGAGATGTGATAGTACACTTCGAAAGTGTTATCTGTGATTATGTCATGTATTGTTTTTCATGGATCGATCTTACCGTGATAGAACATAGTTACTAGCTGTTGGATATTAATGAAACGAAAAGAACTAACAGAAAAGATGATTGTTAGTATGATCAAGAGAATGGTGATTAGTAGATGTCATGTAGAACAGGATGAAAAGAGAAAAGTTATTCAATGTATGCTGTCATGTTAATTGCTAAGTTGATACTGGTTTTATCTGATTTTGAATGGCATGTAGTTTTGAGAAAATAAGAGAACTATTCGAAAACTAAGTAACTTATTTTAAGTTTCTTTAGAAAACTAAAGAAAATTCTTTATTTGAGTCAGAAATATTTGAAAGTAAATAATCTTTTTTTTCCAATGACATATACATTTTTCTTGTTTATTTAAACATCAACTTTTGATATTTGAATCATCTTATTAACTGTTTCATGTCAATAATTAACCAAACACGTTTTTTACATGAGGAAAATAGGTATCACAAAGTTTCGGATATCTCCAACATTGAGAAATTAGAAGACATGTTAATTTAGCACAATTGACTCGAGTTGCGTTATTTGTAAAATTGTGTGTCACTCTTTGTAGACATTCATAGCCGACTTGAAGCGTAATATTATTCAATAGACATGCTTTTGTATCCAGAAGAAATTGCTCAACGTAATCTTCATGTACAAAGGTGAGAGACAGGTCAGTAAGATGAGGATACTCAATGATTGACGAATACCGATTATCGTTATTAGAGTTTTGACAATTTTTGTAATTTTGTGGTTCTTCATTTGATACACGTAATTTCTTTAGAAGTGGAAATACCTTAGTAAGTCGAATAAAAAATTCATGTTCAAAAGGACGTTCATCAAATAACGATATGTCTTCAACATAGTTGAATAATCCACCTGGAAAATTATTTGTTATATGATGGTAATGCTTCAGTCTATAAGGATGTGAGTATATATGACATAGACTATTTCCTTCTTTTGGAAAATAATCCACAGCAGAACTTATTTTACAGTCATTGAAATTTTTGAATGTAGATTGAATATCTTCATTTGTTGGTTGATACAATAAATCGGTAATGTTTATGAATGAATAAATATTAAATAAGAATTTATTTAATCGTGGTAATTGGTTGATAATGTCTTGTTGAAAATGATTACCATCGATAAATGATGTGTAACGATCGAGCAAAACATATAAAGTTAGTTTTTCAAGATTTGATATTCGATGTAAAAGTAGCAAGATTAATTCATCATAATCACTTGTTCCACAATTAGAAATCAATGAAAAACATTTCAAATTAACCAACTCTTTCTAGAAAAATAAAATAATATTATCTAGTGAAAACTATTTCGATAAAACAAATATTTGTTTTTTTCCGAAGTAACCTACTTTATTATCAGTTATTGACGATGGATAAATTAGATGGCTGGAAATTATACAAATTCTAACATAAAATGAACGAAGTTGATTGAAACGACCATCGAGTAAATAAAGACAATCGCCGAAACGAGCCACATTTCTATGCAATTCCACCAGAGTTGAAGAAGAAAAATTGGTAGGTATAGAAACATTCAAACGTTCAATATCAATACCTGTAAACTTATTCAAATTTAAATAAGTTAAATTTGTAAACACAGTAAATATACGAGTAAGCAGAGTCATTATCATCTTTTTATCGACAGATTGTTGTGTGTATTTATCGATTGTCAGAACAAGTCGAGAAATGTGATTTTTGAAGATGCGAACTAAATCAGATTCATCTTAACAAAAAATACAAAGCAATTAAGAAAACACACATAAATATACTATGAATCAATTATAATTAGGGATGCAATGATAGTGGTGGATCATTATACTAGTGCACTGGTCTACAGTTTAGATATATACACATTAACTAAAGGCGAGTATCTCATAAAAATACGATATATCCGGTCACAAGAAGACTATTTATCGAAAATAATACTTTTTATAAAACTTGATTAAAGATTGATGGGGTTGAGAAATCCAAATTTATAAATGATTTATCTGTCGAGTGTGACTTTGTTGCTCGAGAAAAGGCCTATTTATTACAATTTAGGCAAGCTTTATACAATACAAGTAATCTCTTAAAATAGATCTTCCCTAACCAAAAAGAATTAAACTGAAGAATTTCAACAAATCATTTATAGATTCAAATTCCTTGACATCAGAAATCTTTCATCAAATTTTATGAGTCGTTATTTTCGATAAAGTTTTCTATTGGCCAAAAAACAATTCGAAAACAAACCTAAGATCAACGTAATTTCATCACGCAACTCCTGTCTTCGCCGTTAATCAATACATCTATATCTATAGACCGATGCAGTGACATGGTTGCATATTTGATCATAACTCTCATTCTTTTCGTATCTTTTAACAAATCTCAATGATACGCTATATACTACGATTTTCACAAAGGAACAATCAGGAAAAGTATACTTGTACATAATCGTACACAGTAGTAATCAAATTCTGAATTTATTCCGCCAGGATACTTCTTCAGATCAGTGCGGCCGTGACACTCACACTCGTTCATGTACTTTGTAAATTAAATCAATCGTCTATAGGGTGTCGCCGACCTGAAGAAACATATTTTGGATTTTAATCGATATCTTTAGTGAAACTTCAATTATATACCTCAAACATAAATATGCTCTTTTCTATCATCTGGTAATTTATTAAAAGTCGTGAATGAAGTGCTTTATTTCTTTGATTATAGTATAATACTTTTTTTCTCTTGATAGCTCTCGTTCTTCTATCAATTTTACTCTCAACCATATTTAAAGCCATAAAAAAATATAGGACTGGTTTTTTATAAATAAAATGTGCAGTGATGTGCTGAATCATATTTTTAAATCAATAAAATGACTTATGATGATAGTATTTGAAGAAAAAAAATGAATTCGAATTCTTACCACTAAAGTGACGTAGAGCGGCATCATAATTAATTTCGTAAAGACCCAATCCAAATAAATTAGGATAATCAGACGCAAGAAGAACACGCTCCATAGATAATGATTCGAGATTGAGCCATTTGATATTATGATGAATTTGAGGCAATATTTGAGAACAAAATCGATCAACCATAATATCATCCAATGGATGGGAAAGTCCATTTGATGACGATTTCATTAACGTTAAATGACTAGTAAAAATTGGATGTCGTAGAACTCTATCAAGTCGTGTGTTAGTACCCATTAAAGAATTGAGCATTTCAACATTATCCAATTCCTCAAAAATAATCAGAAGTATTTCGTCAGATAAATCCATTAATTGAACGACTGAATGTTTCATATTCATATTCATTTGTCAATTCGTCTCAGTGCAATTATAACAATAACTTTATATATATATTGAACCGTCTTATTGCTTGTCGTCGTCAGCAAAAATAGTGGAACATTTTTAGGGGTCAATTTTTTCAGTCTATGACCCCGTCCACACTATAGAAATGATGAGTTGATTTAATGAATGAATAATGCTGTTTCACTTTAATTGGCTAAAAACATAGAGTAAGAAAAAGAAGTAATTTAGAAAGATAGTAATACGGGAATGATACATTCTTCAAAAAAGTTCAGTATCAGTGAAAATAAAGTTCCATCTTGAGGGCATGGATGTTGGTGTCGATTGAATAGAATAATCAAACTGATACCCACACCCTTGGCCTGACTCTTATAACCTTCTATCAATTAAATTCTTATGATTTGATTCGAATGCAAAAACATAATTCCAGACTTACCTGATGAGTTCTTTAAGCAAGTACGAAACACGTCGTAAGTAGTTTGGATTTGGAAATATATTTGTTTCTGTATAAACCCCACCCTCACCCTCAAACGCGTCGTAAAATGCTTGACTCACCTTCATTAGTATCGTAGTAATTCTACATATCCACCCACACCCTCGAGATGGTGGCCGATTCCCATACCTGGCTATGAAAATGGTTTATTGATGATTAAATATAAAAGATACACAATCAAAGAATAAAATCAAGAGAATATTTGAAGAAGATTTGTACAAGTTGTCACGCTGTTTGAGTTGATTGTTGATTTATTCTGGCATGTAAAGTTAATTAAAGAATCAATAGTTTAATCAAGAATGGATTTGAATTTTACAAGCTTCTAATTACTAAGATTAGCATGAAATAATACCGCTGGAGTCGGCGCTGTCTATTGCAATCATTTTAATAAGTATGAAAGCCAAGGAAAATAGTATACAAATAGGAAAATTATGGGTCGAGCTGGTAGCAGTAGGAACACTGGTAGTAGTATAAACTGGGAGAAGACCACAGCAATATTTGCAGCAATAAATAACATCATCGTCATGCTCGTCACCACCAAAGCCATCGCAATCAGTGTATGAATATCCACCATTACTAGCACCATCCATAGCATTCTCATCGCTAGAATTACTATAGTTATAACCGGGACAGTTACAACCAAGGGAAGTCACTATTGCACCATAATAACCAAAAGCACGAAGACGTATTATAGTATAATCAGGATAAGCAACATTACAGTTAGGATTATTGCCACGGCTACAGTGAGTGGTGTTACAAGCAACAGTGGAATTATTAGTATCGAGCCGACCAGGATCATAACAGACACAATTCTGTGGTTGAACTTCTTGAACGACTCCTAAACTTATGTTGATGGGAAACAGACTTAAAGCCATCAATATGATTTTAGACAACATGTTGTATTGCATTGTGATACTCGAGAGTGAATAAAAAAACTCAAGAACGTTGATAATTTGTGTGACTTTAGATGTAACTGTTTATATTCCTATGCTGAGTTTTTTCTTTGTTTCTTATCTTTCTCTCGAAAGGATACGCAAAATACAATGTAGAAATAATAATAGAAACAGAAGCAAGTTTTACGATGAAAATATCTACGAAGGACGTCAACAATGACATAACAGTAGAAGGTATTTGACGAAGGATGCGGCAATATTTGAATTCTAATAAATGCTGATGTTTCATAAAAAAAGGAGATTAACTCATACTAAAAAGTTAGAGTTATCAATAGCTTTCAGATATTACTAATTTATGGTAACACCATACATATCCAACTTTTTAACTACGCAAACACGCTGTTCTTATTAAAATCAATAGATCAACGACTTATGGTCACTAACACCCAATATCTTTCTTATAGTTTTGATAGACATTCAAGTGTGTCTACAGTAACACCCATAGAACTTCCAGATCTATATTTTGCTCAATTAAATATCATCCTTGAATATGTTTTTACAATAAAATCTACTAGAAGTATATGAAATCGGTCAAAAAGTGTCTTCCCAAATTCTTGTCTGCTTGGGAGAGGTGGGATTGTTTTTCTGTCAAAGCGTCGGCAACAAGTTTTAGATAGTAGTGAGCCATACATTGTTGAAGACTAGTTGTAGTCTTAAAGTTGAAAAACAAAAAGAAATTCTTCGTTGAAACGCAAAAACGTTTTCGGGAATTCAATAGATGGACAGATCGGGTAAAAAAACAATCACAAAGGAATGATTAATGGTTATTCAAAGAAATAATTGTACACATAGGATAAGATAGAAAGTTAAGCACCAATCATGTGAAAAGTTGAACGCTGTTCATCACTTTGTCGGTTTAAATATTTTATAGATATTTATTGTTCCCAATAGTAATTTAGTGCCCATCCTTATTTAATGTTCTCTTCGTCATTGGAGCTTTGTGACTATTTGGTGGATTGTTCTTTTTATTGATAGTTGCTGAAATTGTTTTCGGTGAAATATACAGCTCAGCACTATTAACAGCACTATTATCACGTCCGTCTCCACCAGCTACTAACACATTTCCATTTTCTAATTCGGTTGCCGTATGAAGAACCCGTACGTGGTTCATATTATTAGCGACCATCCAGATTCCTGTCGCTGGATCATACAGCTCAGTACTGTATCGTATTAAACTCTCAGTCATCCCACCAGTAACTAATATTTTTCCATTTCTTAATATGGAAGCTGTGTGCTGAGCACGTGGAAAACTCATGTTCCCAGTAATTGTCCATGTTTCTGTTAATGGATCGTACAACTCAGAGATTTTGACATAACGTCGCATATCATCTAAACCACCAGTAACAAGCACTTTTCCGTTTGTTAATACCGATGCTGAATGTTGCATTCGTCGGTGACTCATCTTAGCAGTAACTGTCCACATTTCTGTTAATGGATCATACAACTCACAGCTATCCATAATGCCATCGTAGTCAAGTTCCGAACCACCAGCAACTAACACCTTTCCGTTAGTTAATACAGTAGCTATGTGGTCATATCGTTGAGTATGCATGCTATTAGTGCTTGTCCAATTTCCTGTTGATGGATCATATACTTCAGCACTGTCAGTTCCTCCACCGACAACTAACACTTTTCCATCTGTTAATACCGATGCAGTATGCCCATGTCGCACCTCATTCATGCGCACAGTACGAATCCAAATACCGAATGAGGGGTCATATATTTCAGCAGTGCCCGACCCACCACCAGCAACCAATACTTTCCCATTCGTTAATATCGACATTGTATGCTCACATCGGTCAATACTCATATTACCAGTAATTGTCCAATTGCCTGTTTCTAAATCATACAACTCACTACTGAACGCACACGAACCGTGATCCGAACCACCAGTAACTAGTACTTTTCCATTCTTTAACAAGATTGCTACATGCCCTTCTCGTTGAGTATTCATGTTTCCAGTACTGCGCCATACTATATGAAAAGAAGAATTTCAATATATTTTTGGCGGAAGCAATGTGTACTTAAGAGGGTGTGGGTATGAGATTACTATATACTCACACCCACACCCCGTCCCCTATAATAAATCGATTTTTTTTCTGAAAACGTTTCGTATTATTCAAATTTCAATCTGATATACGGAATCAGCATAAAAGTCCGCGTCCGATGTTGTAAGGTTGAGTAGAACTAGAGAATATAGGTCTCGAAAATGAAAGTTGTCTCTGCATAGAATTTGATGCTAATTCAGAGTATATAACTCTTTTTGAAAAATATTTTAGGTAGGAAAATGACCTTATCGTTACTTCTCGTTTGTTTGTGCAGCACCACGTGCATGAGTGAGCACGATACTCGAGAAGATATTTCTAGAGGCATGTTTCTATCGTTTTCATGAAAATGATGCCATAAGATTATTTTGTCTTTAATCTTTAATTAGTAATTCAGTCAAGGATCAAGCGAGTCACCCTCAACGAGCGCTATATATCTGCATGATCTGTGAAAATTGTAATTTCGTTAGATCCCAGTCCCTCGCTATATCTATTGACGGTGGCCAACTTTTTCTAAAATTCAATTTGAAATATAAAAGAGCAGACTGTTTATGTCATATGCATTTGAGCTAGTTTAGTCAAACACTTACCGGATGGTTGAGCGGTAGTGGTGGTAGTGCTGTATGAATTTTTTGGAGACCATATGGAAAATTCTAGAATTAAAACTACGGAAATTGTGAGAGCTACGAAAATTACAAAAGAAATTCCAATGATTTTAGCTCGACGTTGATGCCACCATTTGGCTGGTTTGTTAGTGTCGAATACAAGTTGGTTCCACTCACTTTGAGTGTCCATGTAATATTCTAAAAAACATTAAATTCAAAAATGAACAAACATTTATTTAAGTATGCTCCGTCTTTGTGTTTTGTGTTTGCACATTATTCTCAAGAAAGAAAAAGAAAAAGAAAAATAGTGTTATCTTCAATGACAAACGTCTTCGTGTACTGTTATCTCGATATAATTTTGTTGATAATAGAACGCAAGAGACAGTCTACCAAAAAATCAGAAATTTTACACAGACCGCGGAGCAGTAAGCAGTGGCGAAGCTAGGGGAGGAAAATGGAGCTCAACTATCACCCTCCTAACGACGTTTGGAATCTCTTTCAGAGAATTTTGGCAATCAGGGTGGGTGTGTGGGTGTGGGTGTAACTATTCGTTTTTCTCTGACATTCGCCCTAACACCTACACTTACATTCACCTCTAGATTGAACGGTTTTGGGTTAAAAAATAAAATATCGACGCAACTTATTAACATTTTTGAAATTCGATTATTATTGTTTTTTTTGTTTCCTTACTGATAAAAGTATATTACATGTTTTTATTCATTTCTCATAAATAAAAGAACTTCCGAATATGATTCAAAAATATTATTAGTATTTTATATTGATCAAGATGACATTAGACTACATGCTATGAATATTGAACTTGTGTCTTCCTGGAATGAATAGAATATGAAAAATTGATGGATAGATATTTTATAGCATCATTAAAAGAGAAAAAAATGCATATAATAATATTTTCAAATATATACGCATTGGTTGAAGATAGATAAAGAAGAGAAATTTTTTCTAAGTGCTGCTTATGTTTAAATATGAATGAATGAAAAAGCAAAAGACAATACATTTTTTTCTTTTTATTTAACTGTAACATGTTTAAATTCAAAGTTCATCAATTGTTATAGCTTCTTAGTTTTTTTATCATAACCGATTTATTCCTTGCTAACATGATAAACCATCTCGAGTAGATTTTTCCGGATCCAATATCTGAAAAATAAAAATAAATATGAAAGTTACAAATATTGACATTTTTTATTTGTTGATCTTACTTTATCAAGATTAGGTATATGTAAAGGTGCATCACTATTAAAAAAAGAATTTTAGAAATTATAGTACCAACTTACTTTATATTTTCTTTTGGTGTTGTAGTTGTTGTTGAAATTGTTAATGCTAAAACAAAATTTAGTTGAATAGTAAAATTCTTAATTTAATAAAAAGTTGAATTTGCGCATATCTATGCCAACATTTGTAAGTGAATACTTATAATCATTTTTGTTGTATTCATCTATACATTTTTTTTCCATATTTATTGTACAGTTGTCCTATTTTATTATTTCTTCTAAATAAATAATAGATAATCATTTTTCACGGATGGTCTATTAAAATAATAGATATTTGTAAAATTTACTTACAATTCATTATTGACGTTGAAATACAATTGTTTTTCAATTATAATATGTTCGCTAAAAATACCATCTCTCTGAAATAGATGCATTATGCCGATGTTATTACTGACAATCAACTTTACCTCTAAATACACCATAACATCTGATGTTGTTTACCTGATTTCTACATTTACTATGACGTTCATATTATGATAGTCAAATTAGTAATATCCTAATGGTGTTTGTAGTTCAAATTCGACGATCATATTCGTAGATCTTGAGGGTGTAGTGGTTGTCGTGGGTGTAATGGGTGTAGTGGTTGTCGTGGGTGTGACGGGTGTAA